GCAGGAGGATTGCAGCAGTGTCCGAGGCCAGCCCATCTACACAGTAAGTTTCAAGCTAGCAAGGAAAACATAGTGGGACCCTGTCTCCAAAAAACGGCAAAGGCTAAACAAACATAATAAATACTTGTTTACGCTACTTTGTATTCTTTTGATTCTGTGTTGAAAATCTCTGTGAGGGCCAGTAATTACTTTGAATGTACTAGTAGTTTTAGCAATATAAAATAAATGCATACTTTATGGTGATGTGTTCTCTGTTGTTTCTCATTTTAAAAATCACGTAAACCAACTTTTTGTGTTTACTTATTAATGTTTTATTATTACTTATTATACAGAATAATGGGTTTCATTGTAACATTTTCATACATGGCTATAGTGTATTTTGATCACGTTTACACCAATTGCCTTCTCCACCTCCATCTCCTTGATCCTTTCTTCCCAGTGAGTTCCATTTCTACTTTAATTACTTTTTTCTTTTTCTGTCCTTTCCTAAATTTACATGTTACTTAGGTATTTATTTAGGTGAGCCAATCACTGGGGATGCTTAAGGGGCACGAGTTAGAGGTCATCTACAGGAACGTGATGAGTACCTTACCAGTGCCAACACTAGAAAACGGTCTATGCCTCCAGCATCCATTAGCTACCCATGGATCCTATGGGAGGGGTGGTCGGGTGCTCACAGCTGCTTCTGATTTCAGCATTCTACACCACCTTGCCGCATCCTCCCGCTCTCGTGCTCCCTTCCCAGTGTCCCCTGAGCCCTGAGTGCTTCCAAGGGCATTCACTAGTCACTTATTCCCAGCCCTTTCACCACTCAGGTCTCTGCAGCCCCTGCTGTCCAGCACAGAAGAAGCTGGTGGAAGCTCCCTATGGAGGTCAGCACCGGCACTTTGAAGCAGCAGCCTAGGGCCTCTGACCGTCCCAGCCACAGGCGTTCGCCAGATGTGAAGCACCTTCCTGTGGAGAGGATCCCGGTTCCCACAGAGAGTGGCTGGTTACCACCATAAGACCTTCCAGTACTGTACTCGGAGGTACATCCTGCCTGGTCGGTCAGTAGTGGCGTAGACTGCAGAGCCAGCAAATGAGTGAGACTGTTGACAGTTCTCCCTGGCAACCTCCCCAGAATCATCCAGCACTCTGGGGGCTGGCCAGCATGGGAGACACTCCCAACCTGAAGCTAGCGTGGTAGCTCCATGGCCTTCCATCAGAGCCAGTTTTTTGAATTATCACCTAGGCCTCTGAAAAACAAAAGGTTTACCTGATGTGTAAAAAAAGACTTTGAAAATGATCCAAGGAGAATTGGGGGAAAGGGTGTTTGAAACACAGATGGACGTGGAAGGATGTCTGACAATTACTCCAGGAAGTCACGGCGGCTTCTCGTTCTCAAGTCCCTCATTCCACGCGCCGGGTCCCTACCTGCGCCTCTCATGCTAGTTTTAGAACTTTTGTTAATAATAGCGTATTAGTTGTGTGTTTTCTCATTGCTGTGGTTAGAAGCCACTTAATAGTTCATTTTGTCTTAACAGTTTTGAGAGACCAGGAGCTAGACTCCCTGGTAGGCAGACAGGGAGAACGGCCATGGCTAGGTGTAAAGCTGGCACACTTCCGACATGGCCAGCTTCTTCCTCCTCTCGTGGCCCGAGACAAAAGCTACTATGCTTCCGTCTCCTGCCAGCAGGCCCCTGAGGATGGACTGGCTCAACAAGTTAAAGGCCTCACAGGGACAGGTCACACAACAGTTGCAGAACAAGCAGCCACCTTACCCGTCTGCACACTGACCCCTAAGTAGGGAGGAAGACTTCAAAGGCTGGAAAAGCACCAAGCCTCAAGTAGAGCCTGGGGTTTTGCACATTCTCAGTCCCCTGATGCTTTTCTCTGTGTGTCCGCTGCATGTGTGTGCTTTCTTACCCATGGAAATGCCTTTCTTAACTGCTCATTCTGTCTTCGGTGCCCGAGATTTCTCTACTGTTGTGCTTCAGATGTTTCCGGCCTTTTAATTCTTTTAACTGGCAGAGAAAACAAACTCAGTCAAGACCCCTACAGTGTATCATTCCTAGACTGTATCATTTCTACACTGTACCATTTCACAGGTCCCACCCATCACTGCAGGAGAGTGTAAGTGTAGCTCAGACTGTATTCACCATTGGGAAGCAGAGCAAGGCCAACGTGGGCGCTTATCTCTTCCTCCTCCTTACAGCCCAGGAGCTCAGTCTGTGGGGTGGCACTACCCACACTCAGGAGCATTTGCCCTCAGTTAATCTTCTGGAAACAATCTCACAGGTCTATCCAGAGATGGGTTTCATAGGCGATTTGAAATCCAGTTAAATTGACAGTGAAGGCTTGACCATCACAAAGAGAAGCTCTAACCCAGCCTTGTGAATGAATATGCCAGTGCCTGTCACTGCCCACACCAGTGTTACAAAGCTTTGGCGGCCCCTTTCTCCTTATTCCTTCCCTCTGTTAGCATGACTTCGTGGGAAACTGAGCGAGCACAACACTCAGGGGAGCATGAAGATACCTTACCCCCTTCCCCGGTGCTGCTTCAGGAGACTCCATTTCTGTAGGAAAGCAGCATCCGCTTTCACTGGGTGTGGGACAGTATACGCTGTGATGAACAGAAACCTTGCACAGCAACTGAGTGTGTCTCCTGCTTCTGAGGGCATGCCATTTCCTTGTAAGCTCCCACGAAGCAGTTTTATTGTCCTTGCTTCTGTTGCTGATAGAGGATGTTTGTTGTTTGTTTTTTGTTTCCAGGACAGGATTTCTCTGTGTAGCCCTGACAGGCTGTCCTGAAACTCAGAGATATGCCTGCCTCTGCCTCTGGAGTGCTGAGATTAAAGGTGTGCACCACCACGCCTGGCTGCTTAAAGAAATATTTTTATTTGCCAGTCACCAAAACGAATAATTTACATATTAAATGGAACAGCTTGGGAAATAAGCACATAGGGGACTTTGAGAAGAATTATATGGGAAAATGTCAAAGGTTCTGTTACCTCGGGCAAAAGAAATTAATAAATAACTTAGTATCATGATGGAGATCAGAAAGTCAGACTAGTTTTCTCTAACTTAATGATGAAGCTAATTGAGCATTGTGTCAGTTGCTTGTCTTGTTGCTGTGACAAAGTTCCTGACAGAAGTGATCAAAGGGGAGGTTTGTTTTGGCTCACAGTTCAAGGGTACCAGGGTACCGCCGATCACTGCAGGGAAATCATGGCGCAGGAGCTTGAGGTCTTGTTGTATGTGAAGTCGAGAAGCAAAGAGTGCTAAATGGACTTCTCATTAAGTCCAGCCTCCAACCCATACAGTGTCTCAGCTCACGTTTAAGGCAGGCCTTCGACCTCAGTCCACCTACTCTAGTAAATGCCTCACAGGCAGGCTCAGAAGTTTGTTGCTGTGGTGATTCTAAATCCCATCAAAAAGACGAAGTTAACTTTTCAGGCAGACCCCTGCAAGGAAAGCCTTTTGGCTCGGGGAGAGGTTTTTTTTATTTTGTTTTTGTTTTTTTTTTTTTTTGTTTTCACTCAGTTGTGAAGCAATGCTATGAAGTTTTGGGGTCTAGAGTTTACAGCTTTTACAAGTCCCTTCACACCTGTGAAGGGAAGCCACATTTGTCAAAGTGACAAGGCATCCGAAGATGTGGCTTATTAATCCTCTGTTGTGCTTCCACTGTTCTCTAACTGGAAAATGTTCATCTCTTGGGAGGTAGTGTCATTCATTTTATGTCAGATTTATCTCTTCTGTAGAAGTAAGTGTATACAAGCCAACTCTCGCCCCCCTGCTGTCTGTCCTACAGACTCATGGTTAGCTCGCCAGAGTTAAATGGGAGCAACCCTTCTGTCTCACTCAGTGATCGCCCTCACTGTTTCTGTGCCCCGTTCTTCCTTGAGCAGGGTGTGGAAGATAAAGTGACAGCCAAGCTTGAGAGCTGAGGGGGTTGCTCGGTGGTACCAGCTCTAGAAGCCCAGCTACCTGTGAGGGGCTCGCCTGTGGTCCCAGCCTCAGGAGGTATAGAGGGGCTCCCCTGAGCATGCTGGCTGGCACAACCTGCCTCCGTGAATAAGGCAGAAAAGCCATACAGGAAGATTGCCAACACCAGCCAGGGACCTCCGCATGCATCACACACAGCCTCTCCACACACCCACCCACGTAAACATTCACACTCAGGTGCGAGCACACAGAGTAAAGGGCAGCTGGGGGGAGGGAAGGTCCTCTCTCCAGTTTTCTCATCCAGTTGCTGTCATCTCAGTGGAGGCTCTTGGGAGTGCTCCTGCTAATAGCAGAGCCACCTAGATGCCACCCTCTCCCCACCAGTCGCACAGAGTCACTAGCTGCTGCCCCCACCATTTTTTTCCTGCATCCTGTCAATTATCTTACCACCTTCCTTTTCTGTTAAGCCTTTCCCGAACTGCAATCAGCATGATGCCAGCTCAGCTTCTGTTTGTAAACACTAACTGTATCATTTTCGTGGGCCTGTTGAAAGTGTCCAGTGACAGGTGACACATTCCATCGGCACAGGGACCAGTGGAGACAGCTCTGCAGCTCGCCTCTTTGGAAAACTCACCTAGTGTACCTCAGGTGACCACTGCTGTGGGAATAAACTTCTCTCTGCTCCCAGGACTGCGTTCTCCGGACCGTCCCATCACCACAGAGACATTTAGGCACTGCTCTATCCACCACTAACACCCTTCATAGCACTTGCCACTATCGGAAATTCTTTTATTCCTGTTGGTTTGTTTGTCACTGGTGCCTGCAGCAGCATCTGCCTGGCTCATCGGTTCACTCAATACATAGTTGTTAGATGAACAATGACTGAAAGTGCCCTCCTCTTCCTGGTATATATGGCACCGATTGGATCAGTTGGTCTCTTAGCTATAAATGCACCAGCAGAACATTGCATTTTTCCTGAGGATTCCTTGAAAGTAAATGCGGCAGCCTGTAATACCATGCTTGGCCACCATGGGTAAAGTGAGCTCAGACAAACAGCACTACTTCCTGTTTTGCAGAAAATCTTTGGAGGAACTGGACATGGATAAGGTGACTGCAGCAATGGTTCTCACCAGCTTGTCGACCAGCCCTTTGGTTCGCAGCCCTCCCGTTCGGCCTAATGGTGAGTGTCGTCTTTGGGAACGTGCCCATTAACACCCAAGAACAAGGCTTCTACTCGGAATCTCATTCCTCCCAAATGAACGGTTGGTTCTGATTCAGGGAAAATGTGGGCCATCAGCCTCCCCGCCTCCGAAAAACCCCAGCATTTTCATGTACTCACCTAGGCAGCTCACATTTATGGAGTTCCATCGCGTGTTTGCTGTCTTCCCAGGACACATCTATACAGTACTGTGTTCCTTTTTCCTCGGGTAAATGGAGAGTGGTCTAATGAACTTGTTTTCACAGCATAATTTCTTTTTGATTAAGAGGTCGTTGGATCTGTGAACTCACTGAAGATCCAGTCGTTTGTAAAAGCATTATCCCATACTTCATAACCAAAGAGAATTACTTTAGTCCATTCACAAATTCAGTATATATTTATCCAATGCCACCTCGATGATTTGAACCCATCAGTGACTGTAAATAGTGTCCGTGCTCCTGTAGCGTGCATAGTCTCTTTGGGAAGCCGTCAGTCGTGGCCTCCTATTGGCTACATGTGGACTGAGCCCTGACTATGCCTGAGTATGCTGCTTGCTTTATCTCACCGTATTTCCACCAGCAAGCCTATGAGATGCTCTTGTCACTACAGGTAAGTAAACCAAGGCGTGTGTACACTTGTAAATGGTAGACGTTCGTGTCTAGTCCCTGTCTTCCCGATTCCACGTCTGCCTCCTAATCGTGCCGTGACGTTGCTTCATTTAATCTGTACGACAAAGCAGGAAAGCAGACTGTGGGAGATGAAGATGGACGGATGATATTACGCACTTTATTGGGACAGGTCCCATGTATGCCTGGCTAGAAGTGTGAGACCATGAGAGAGCTTCTAAAGTGACCCACACAGACAGTAGACAGACTGGGATAGCAGGCTGCATACACAATGTATGTGTGTGGGTGTGTGTGTTTAAATACAGACATACACATAGATGATCCTGCGTAAGTACATGAAGTGACCATTCTTGCTTAGTGGCCTGGCCTTCGGGAGCCTCCTAGCAAATGGATATCCAGGTTTGCCATCCTCAGCTAGGCTGCATTGCTGGAGGCAAAATTGGGGTGCCCCAAAACATTCTAGTAATACATTTGAATCCCTAGGGAGAAAAGATATTTTTAAATTAATCATTTTTTTTTTAACTATACCCATCTTTTTTAAAATTGAGAACATTTCTATTGTTTATTTGATTGTAAAGGTTAAATTTTAAAATAACGTTTGGGGTGTGCCGTCAGGTGGGGGCGAGTTTCAGGCTGCTTTTGCCATTTCGAGACTACAGCTACAGTCACTTAGTCACTTCGGCCAGTCTAGCGTCTTATAATGTGTCTCTGGCTGGCCTGAGCCTCAAGAGAAGATCCCAGCCTTCCCTCACCTCCCAAAGAACTATACCTGGCTGTAAATTGGAGAAGACAGTGGTTCTGGTGTTTTGGAGGCAGTTCAAGTTGACTCATTGATCCTACCAAGGTATAATATCTTCCAAGATGTCAAAAACAAGCGAATCCAAGTCTAGGTCTCGCTCTTCGCGCTTAAGATCTGCATCCAGATCTCTCTGTCTTTCTCATTCATTTTCAAAGTCTCCGTCCCAAAGCCGATCTGTCTCTTGTTCACAGAAGCACAGGCTGAATTCTAGGTTCCAGATCATGTTCTCCAGCTCATAACAGAGAAAGAAATCACCCCAGAGTGTATCAGTGTCAAGATTTCTGAGGTCACAACAGAGGCTACAGGAGGCCCTATTATTTCCGTAGGCGAAGGTGGAACTTTTATCTGTGGAGCCAGTATAACCAAGGTGGCTATGGAAACTGCTGTTTCCAATTGGCAGAACTACCTGCAAGCATACAGCCCTGTCAGGGCCGTCCTAGATCCCAGTCCCCAAAGAGAAGGTCCCCATCACCACAGTCCAGGAGCCTTTCTAAGAACTCTGGTAAGTCATCCTCTGACAGATCAAGACGTTCCTTATCCTCCCATTCATCCTCCAACCACAGCAGAGTTGAGTCATCTACTTGTGGATCTACAAAAAAGAAAAAAAAAAAAAAAACCCTCTTCCAAGGATAACTGACCATCTCAGGCAGCTGGTGATAACCCAGAGAGATGAGGCTAGAGATGAGACCCAGACCTTCTCTGGAGGCACCTCTCAAGATGTGAAAGGGTCTGAGAGCTCAAAGCCATGGCCAGATGCCACCACCACTGGTTCTGTATCATGGGCCTCAGTCTCTGATCTGAGTGCCCGGGAGAGAAGCCCAGCCCTCCAGTCTGTGGTGGTTAGGCGAAGGTCACCACACCTTAGCCCTGTGCCAAAACCTAGTTCTTCACTTTCTAATGCATCCCAGATGGGCTCATCTTTGTCACCTGGTGCTGGATATCGGTCTGGAACACACCAAAGTCAGTTCTACCATGGCTCTGGGTCTTTAAGTCCATCCAAAAAGAGCCCTGTGGATAAGAGTCCATCAGCCGCGGGCTCTGCGTATGGTTCATCTCAGAAAGAGGAGAGCGCAGCTCGAGAAGAGCAGCAGACACAAAAAGGCATCTGGAAGACCAGAGCACGGAGAACGGGAAGGGTAAGGAGCAGAAACGAACAAATACCAATAAAGAGAAGCTGGAAGAGGAAGGGAGCTTCTCTGATGCTGATGTCAAAATGAAATCTGATCCGTTTGCTTCCAAGGTGGACTCCAGCAGCCAGTCCCACAAAAGGTGTAAACTCCATGATGACTTTGAGAAAAAGATGGCTGACTTCACCAGGGGGAGACGGATGAACAGGATAAGAACTAAGGCACGGCAAGGAAGGAAGGAACCTGAGTTTATGATGAGCCTGAATTTATGTCTAAATTGGATACAAGCAAAAACCAGGACGAATTCACGAAAGTAGGAGAGCCTGGTGCATACAGGGAAGGAAAAGCAGAGGAACTGGAGGAGGAGCCTTTCACAGAGAGATCCAGAAAGGAGGAGCGTGGAGGGGCCAAGAAGAGTGAAAGCAGACACAAGGGCTTTGTGCAGAAAAGAATTTCTGGGTAACTGCCTACAAGGCGGTCCAGGAGAACAGTTCATCACCTCCCCCAAGGAAAAGTCTCTGAGAGCCCTGACAAGCTGGGAAATGGAGACTTTTCCTCGGGGAAGTCTTCCTTCTCCATTACTTGGGAGGCCCAGGTCAGTGTCCAGATGGACTCCTTTGATGAGGACCTTGTTCGACCCAGTGGCTTATTGGCTCAGGAATGAAACCTTTGTCAGGACCTAGTCCATAGCAACCAAAAGGAGCAGGACTTTTGTTCCATTTTCCAGCACATACCGTCAGCTCAGCCTCAGCACAGCCCCTCAGAACTGTCTGCCCAGCACATAGTGATGATTGTTCATCATGCTAGAGAGCATCACTTTGGCTCCTCTGGAATGACATTGCATGAACGCTTTGCTAAATACCTAAAGAGAGGACACAAACAGAAGCAGCTAAAAATAAGAGAGGCCCAGAGGTACACAGGAGGATAGACATTTCCTCCAGTTCATTCAGAAAACATGGTTTCCCTCATAAGGAATTGAGAAGTCCCCAGGAAGCTGGCTACAAGGCTGATCATATTGATCTTCATCTTGTTGTTGAATGTCATAAAAAAATAAGGAGAGAGATCCTAAATCAAGAGAGTCTGTGGATTCCCAAGACTGTAGCCACTCAAGAGAAAGGTCAGGTCATCTGAGAAAGCAGAGAAAACCCACAACGGATCAAAGAAGCAGAAGAAGCACCGCAGAGCAAGAGACCAGTCACAGTCCTCGGTCCTCCTCTTCCTCTTCCCAGTTGTCTCACTCCTACAAAGCAGAGGAGTACCCCGAGGAAGCAGAGGAAAGGGAAGGGAGCAGCACAGGCTTTGACAAATCCAGCCTGGGGACCAGAGACTTCCTGGGTCCAAAAGAAAGAGGCAGCAGAGCTCAGAGAGCCTTTCAGTTTCCAGCAAGAGAGAAAGGTTGGGGCAGAGGAAACTGTCCTGGTAATAACAATAGGAACACTGGTTTTCAAGAGAGAAACCAGGAAGAGGAGTGGGATCCAGAGTACACACCCAAAAGCAAGAAATACTACTTGCATGGAGACCAGGAAGGCGAGGGTAGTGACTAGTGGATGAATCATGGCGGAGGAGCCTTCCCTCGGGGTCGAGGCTGGTTCATGTTCCGAAAATCCAGTACCAGCCCCAAGTGGGCCCATGACAAGTTCAGTGGGGTGGAAGGAGAGATTGAAAATGATGACAGTGGGACGGAGAACAGAGAAGAGAAGGACAGTTTACAGCCCATAAGGGGCCATTCTTGACGGAGCCCTTGCATAGGGGAGAAAGGTGCTGGGAGAGGCTGGTAGAGCTAAACAGGGAGCCTCAAGAAGATCCCACAAACCATTAGCCACACAGAATCCTACAGCAGCAGAGTGTACGCCCCCCTGTGCTGTCCCACTGGACAGAGAACTCTGGCCACAGAACCTAGGATCAGGCCCACCTTTGAGCAGACCACAGCATACTGGGCTCCTGCTGTTTCTCATTGTTGGTGTGGGGTGGAGGTGCAGTAGGGAGAATGATGCGATGCTTGGATTTGTGTGTGTGTGTGTGTGTGTGTGTGTGTGTGTGTGTGTGTGTTTCTCCCCTCCCCCATTAGGAACCAAGTTTTCTTCATTTCATTTCATTTGGAGCTAAGAGGATGAACTTGCTTTTAAGTCTGTTCCCATCCTGAGTTTTAGAAGCCCTTATTTCTCTCTCTCTCTCTCTCTCTCTCTCTCTCTCTCTCTCTTTCTCTCTTCCCCCTTTCTTTTTAAGGGATATGTAGTAATATTAGCAGAAAGATTTAATTCGGGCAATTTTGATTATTGAGAGAAAAAAAGCATGTGAATAAACATTGAAGTGTTCATCTAAAAAAAAAACATTTTGAAACTTAAATGCAAACTTCTGTTAGCATAGCAACAGAGTATGTCGGTATGCACTTATTTAAAATTAAATAACTATAGCTATATAATATATAATAATATAATAAATGACTATAGCTAAGTAGTTGTTAAAAATATCTACTTAGCTGTGCATGATGGGGCATGCCTTTAACTTCAGCCCCAAAGAGGCAAAGGTGGACAGAGCTCTGTGAATTAATGAGGCCAACCTGGCCTGCTCAGAGGGACGCAGTGTCAAAATAAATAAACAAATAAATCTGGCCTGCTCAGAACCTGCCTCTAAATAAAGAAATGAATGAATGAATAGAATTTTTTCAGATAGCTGCTTAACTACTGAATTAGACGTCTCCCATTTGGTTTAGAAACGGAAGCAAATTTTTAAGTAGGGGAAGCAACTTATAATGATAAAGTCACTAGTTTTTTGGAGACTAAAGTCATTCTCCAGAATTATGATGCATGAGTTTGGGAAGCCTGTTGAGATCCTTTTCTGTGCCTGAGAAGGATTGTTCTGTTAGGAGGCAGCTTCGCAAAGAAGTGAAAGTCCAGCTGGGCCCTCCGCATCTTTGCCTAATGCTTAAGACAGGAAAATGCTGCAGCCTAAGCAACACCCTGAGTCTATCGAGCCGCTTCCGAAATTCATTCAGTATCACGTAGTCTTCCCGGTTAGAGTGAAGGAAGAGTTCTCAAACTGGTAAGCAGACACAGTGACATGAAGCAATGAGCACACTATGAGAATAGCTAGTTCTCAAAGCAGCTCAGTTCCTGGATCGTACTGCGGCCACACATCCGGCCTGTGGCCTGGATTTTATTATTGTGTGAGCACATCGTTGGGTGTGCAAGGAATCCGCTGGCTTTCACGCCACATGGCTTGTTACAGGAGGTCACTGTGGTCTGCATCCATCCATCTCTCCCCACCAGGCTGCAGGAAGGAGATGCTAAGCTGCTTTGTGATGCTAGCGAGGAGCAAGCGTGCATAAATGGTCCTTTAACTCAGGAAGAAGCTTACCATCCAAAAATGGCATCTTCTACTTCAGGTTAAAACTCAGTGGCTTTGACTCAACTTTTTGCTTGATGTAGCTGAGAAATTTGCTGGAAATCTATAATTAGGTAAGGGTAGTGATTTCTCCACAAATGCAAGTCTATGGTACATCTTTGCTTCATTAGTAATTACACAGACATTAATAATATTTTTTAATGATGCATTTTGGGATCCCCCCTTATAATTAGAGTTTTAATATATTTACAGTGCATATAGATATGGAAGTTAAATTATCCAGAAAGAAAGTGGCATTTATATAAATGCCATTTAAGTTTGGGCATCTTGAAAGAAAAAGTGAATCTACAGTAGCCATCAGCCCCCTCCTCTGACATTAACAGGGAGAAATCTCTGCCTCAGACTTTACTGTTAAACTGAGCACCAGTCCAGTGAGTAGGTGTTGCCAATAAATTCTGATGCAATCCATCTCGGCCACAGAGGTAAGGTGATGCTCAGAGCAGAGGACCTACATGCTCTGGAGGACCAAGGGCCACTAGGGGACCAGGTCCTGGCTCTGGCCAGCCAGGGTCACTTACTAGGTAGAGAGCAGGTAGGTGAAGTTCCTGTGCCAGTGTCAAGCTGGGGACACTCTGCCCTGAGTGACAGATGTGGCAGTGCTTGAGACTCAGATGAGCCCTGTAAGAGGTAGGGTGAATTGGAGCACACAGCATGAAAGCAGAAGTGGAGAAAATGGTACGTGTAAAGGAGAAGACTAGTAAGAGGAGGCCGGAGGGAAGGATAAGAACTAGAATGAAGTATAATGACACAGATGTATAAAAATGCCATCGCAAAGCCCATTATTTTACACACTAACTTTGAAAGTTAATAGGACGTAAGAGCGGTCAGAGTGTAAGTCACTGTTATTTGTTTTAATCATCAGTAGGAACTCACTTTAGATGCCTCTCTAGAAATTACTGTTCTCATAGAATCTTAACTCTTAATCTAATTCCTTACGCATACATCCCAAGAGCCATAGCCATTGAGTAACGCCTTATTAAAAGGTAGAACTGGAACTGGGTGGGGCAATCTGGAGGATAACACAGACAGTTTCCCACTCGAGTGCTGCAGCCCACAAACCCAGAGGCCCCACGGTTGGCAAACAAGAAGTGATGATCATTTTCTTGTTTTTGTTTAACTCCGTTGATCCCAAGGAAGGGCACTGTACATCAGAGCCCAGATAGCCCTGCCCTAGCTAAAAACAACTGCTTAGAAATTACCTTGTGACTGGGTGGGTAACAGCCTAATGTGGGGGTGAGGCCAGAACTTGGTCCTCTTCCCTATGGCCTCACTTGCTGTCCCCTCTGCTCACAGAGTGCCTCAGCGGGTCCTGGAAGGAAGGTGCTCCGTCCAGCAGCAGCAGCAGTGGCTACTGGAGCTGGAGTGCCCCCAGCGACCAGTCCAACCCGTCCACGCCCTCCCCACCACTGTCGGCTGACAGCTTCAAGCCCTTCCGGAGCCCAGCTCCACCTGATGATGGCATCGACGAGGCGGAGGCCAGCAACCTGCTCTTCGATGAACCCATTCCCAGGAAGAGAAAGGTGGGTTGTGCCCTGTGTCCTACACCCAGCGACCTCAGGAGAACAAGCAGGCGCCCCACGCCGTGCCTTAATGGCCTCTGACAAAATGACTGAAGTCCCCATGTCTGTTCTCCATCCACCATGCATGTTCCATCCCCGTATGCACTGTCAACAGCCTCACCTTGTGTGGACTTCCTGTGGTTACATGCTTCCAGTATTTCTTTTTTTTTCTTTTCTGCTTCAGTTAGCCCAAGAGAGTTAATTTTTACACAGCTAGACAAGAAGTATACATAAAAGTTGACACGTTAATGTGTCTACTTCCATCCCAAAAAAATTATGTTTACTAAACAAAAATGTAAAGAAAAGCTAAATATTTGGGCTCAGTAGATTGGCTACTTCTGTTTGGCCCTCACAGCAGTGCTATAAAGGGATCAGGTTGAGGTTCCAGGATGTATCTTGTTAGTTGGCCCCAGACTCCACCATCCAAAGTCTCTTCATTCTCTTCAGGAATCTTTATTAGCATCATCTCAGGGCTTTGATTTTTTTTTTTTTAACATTTATTTATGTTGTGTGTACGTAACAGTTAGACGACCACTTGTTGGATTCAGTCTCTCCTTCTGCCACGTGGGTTCTGGGAATTGGACTCAGGTTTGGCAGCAAGCACCTTTCCCCACTCAGCCGTTCTGATGACCCTCTGTCCTCGGTTTTATAGAAGCATTTCACAGACTGTAGCAACAGTGCTACTAAATCTGGAGAACATTTGGAAATTGTTTGAAGATTATGTGAAACTGTGCTCTTAGGTGCTGGTTTTTAAATTTTATATGGGTGTCATCATTCCTCATGATGACACATAAGCAAAACAAACCGAGGCCTTGAGGATGCAGTTCAGCTTTGTCCTTCCCTGGATGCGTTTGAAGAGGAAAACAAAGATGTGGCCCTGGTCTAGCACCCTCCCTGGCTTCCTCAGATCATTCAGAATACACAGCAGTAAGCAGGACAACAGCTCTGTCTGGGTATGCCCCAGGGAATAGGGCATCTGTACCAGGAAAGAGGGCCTCTGCTCAGCATCCTGTCTCTCCTGGAAACAGTGTCCTGAAGAGTCCGTTTTACACAAGGACAGTCCACAAGACGCTGGGACTCACATGATGAGGAGAGCTAGCATTGAACCCGTGGCTAGCTGCAGACAGGATAGTCAATGATGTGGAGCTGAACTCTTGTTTAGCCTGCCATTCCCAGGGTATCTGAGCAAGCAGTTCTGACTCATGAGAGGGGCCAGCATTGTGGCAAGATCTCAAAACAGAGGCCCTCCGACGCTGCCACAGTACATTAATGAGCACCTGCCACAGATAAGTTTATAATGTGATGTCATGTTCTTACCTTATGGTTAGGCTGCATTGGTCTGGCTCCGGCGTGTAGTGTACACATTTCAGCAAAACTAGTGAACAGTTGAGTCACCAAAGGAAAAGAGCAGGGAGCTTCATCCCAAAGTGGGCATGGTGCTCCCTGTGCAAGCATGTGGACTGGAGTTCAGATCTTCAGAACTCACGTGAAGATGGCCACAGGGGGGTACATCTCCAATCCCAGCACTTCTATGATGGAGATGGGCAGATCTCCAAAACCTCGCAGCCAGCTACTCTGGCCAGCCACAGCAGTAAACAAGAGGCCCTGGTGTCTCAAGCACAGTGGGAGGTGATATCCCCTGACCTCCAGACAAACATTGTGGTCTTCACACACCCATGTACGTGCACATACAAATAAATACCACATCTTTGAGCACAGGCCTCCTTCAGAAAGTGCTAGGCGGTAGACATGAACGGGTCTGTTAGAACTAGGTTTTTCCACCTCGGTGTTTTCTTCCTCTAGACTCAGCATTCCCCACAGTGATGTGTGAAAAGATGGACACTAATGTTCTATCGCCTTGGCCTTTTGTACTTAAAATTACTTTGAGAACTAAAAAAATAGCATGAAAACAGGACGGCTACTATTCATCTTCTTGTTTACTTAGTGCGCTGATACTTACTGAGCACCATCAGGCAAAATGCTGAACGCTCTGGAAGCAAGGGGCAGCTGCTTCATTCAGAGGGTGGGCAGAAGTTGGTGTGTGAGGGGCTGGGATAGTTTCAGAAGCTGTCCTCCAGTGATTCAAAAGGTCTCTACAGAATTAATGTAAGTGCTTGCAATGCCACTTTTTCCGTCACAGTCTCGCATACCCTTTCTTTCTGGACTGAATGGACAGAATGGCTCCCTTAAGAGAGGGCTGTTCCCTCATCAACAAAGGGATGACTTAAAATATCCATCAGCATTTGTATCTCCACCAAAGGAGTGGGCTTCAAGAAATGTACCTCTTGGGCATCAGAGAAATCTCAGAATTTGCCATAAAAGACATGGGAACTCAGGATGTGTACATTGATAACCAGGCCCGGCAATGCCATCTGAGGCAAAGGACAAAGGAATGACCCATAGCATGTCTGTGTAGCCCGAAGACATAGTGAGGACGCAGGGTCCTCTGCTCTCAGTGACCAGTGTCCCTGTTAGGAACAAATGTGTAGATACACACTGTAATCACTGGGCGTGAGAACTGACTACCGAGTGTCAGCGCTATGAAACCGAAGAAATAACTAGTTTGCCTGAGCAGTCTGTTCCTGTTGGTACAACTTGCCAAGATCATCTTATTTCCCTGCCTGTTCTTTTAGATCCTTAGTGTCCATTTGGGTCCACGGTCATTTGCAGTGGTCACATACCCAGTGGAGGTTGAGACTGTCTAAACCAGGTTCTTCCAATAAGGGAGTTTTGATTCACTCGTGGGCTGTGAGTCTGTCTAGTGAGAGATGAGCAGTACTCTCTAACAGCAGGCAGGAGAGCATGCGCTGAGTGTTGGGTCAGCCCCGTCCTCTTGGGGTTTTCGTTCCAGCAGGGTACCGACGTGTCAGCGTGTGCTGTACAGGGTGCGTTTCTTTCTGTGGTTTATCACAGAAGCACCTGACCTGTTATAGAGATGATGGTGCAGGGTAAATCCAGGCGCTGTGGTCAGGAAGTCCCATGATCCACACTGCAGCCTCCGTGCTGTGGCTCTGAGGACCTAAGAAAAGCATATGGTCTCTCCGACCATCACACACTTAGTTGCAAGCCTGCTGATGTGTGTCTCACGCCTTTTGAAGGACAATTGTGACGTCGTTAGATGTGAGCCACGTGCTGGAACAGGCATCTGTCTGAGCAGGCATTGCACAGACTGTAAACACAGCAGGAAGCGGCGTTCCCTGCACATAAGTTCGCCTCGTGACCGCGGGCACCGTCTGATCTTTCTGACGTGAAAACACTCACTACCAACTCCAGTGGATCTGTTTGTGTAAAGAAGGCTAAAGTGAGCTGCGTTGCACAGACAAGGATTATCACTTACTGAGAAGTATTTCCTGAGGATCACCATGTTTACGTGTTCTGTCACAGTTTGCCAGACGCTTTTGAACACAGCATTGCATTTAGTCATACCCCAAATTTTCAGCACAACCTATTGCCACCTTGCAGAGGCAGCTCCTTAAGTTTGCGTGGATTGCCCAACGTTACTGTGTATGTTGTGGCAGAAATACGGTGAGCTCAGCAGAAATAATAGAGGGTGCCCTTGAGGCTGAATGAGCTATAGAACCCACTGATCCCTCGGCCCACAGAGGAGGCAGCAGCAGCATAGTCACCACTGGACCAATCAATATCACATGGCCGGGTGGGAGAAGGAAACTGAGAGCAGAGGAACTCGACCCTTTTTCTCTGTGGAGCACCCATTCCTCAGCCACAGCAGGGGAAATGGGAGAAAGGTGTCAGGCCTGACTCTGCAAGTCAGCTGGCCAGCGTGATGAGGGCAGAGTCTAGCAGGCTTTTCCCTCAGGTTTCAGGTAGACAGACACCCAACTTCCACAGACTGTGATAGGGACTTTGGGAAGGTGCAGTTCCTGTCATGACCACAAGGTGATGCAATGACCCAAAGTATGGGCCCTCGGGGAGTCTCAGGAGAAAACCAATTCTAAATCAGTTCCGCAAGACCTCCTGGAAAAGCCGAAGTGCTGATGAGTAAGAAAAATGCCAGGTTCCCGGTTCCATCAGCTCTAGATTCTGTGCATCCTGAAGCTGGGGTGACACCTCTGGCATTTCAGCGTGTTATCTGAAAATTGATAATGGAGGTTCCACGTTGATGGGGGTGTTGTGAGGATTATGTGAAAAGAAGGGAAGAGGAATAAACACAGCCACTCATGCTGAGCTGTGCTTTTGCCCTTGGGTGCTGAGTGGGTGGGGGCTGGAGAAGCCGGGTGTGGAGAGAGGGGAGCGCTTGCCCCCGTCCTGATCCTATATTGAGAGAACAATACTTGGGCTCAGGGTGACTGTAACTCAGGGTGACTCAGTCCTGCAGCACACCTTTTGGGTTGACGTGAGAAACCCCCAGCAGTGCAGGGAGTGAGGGCAGCACTGGCAGAGATCGGGGAAACCTGACTCAGGACTCACTCCCTCCCAACCGTCAGCAGCGCCCCTGAGGCACTTACTGTCATTTGCTTTGTAGGTGCGGTGACTGCAGACAGTGAGGGAGGAGCTCAGATCCGAGCAGGAATCTCTGAGCTAACACAGGAGCTTTGACAGCTGTGTGTGTTGTCTTAAGCCATGAATTAAGTGCTTGTTGCACTCTGCAATTTTTTTTTTAATCTTTCAGAACACAGAACACAACAGATCCTGTTAATGTGAGTGATACTCAGCCCCCCAAAAACAAACATCCTTAAAGCAGTCATGCTGAGGGTAATGCCCATCTCTGCAGAGTTCACTCCTCGTGTCCTCGCCAGGAGCAGGAAGGTCTCCCAGAGGAGCACTGCACAGAAGTAGTCCCAGTGAGCACCCTGGCGAGGGCATCCACCCCAAAGGTGTGATTGTGAGGGTCACAGTCACCAGAGCCACTTGGCACTGCCTCAGGACGGAGGCAAGTGTCCTGTCCACTCCCAGGGTTCTCAAGCCCCCCTCAACCACTCAGCATCCAAGGGCAAGAGCAC